TTTGCTCTGTAAACCTTCACCCAACTCACAATTGAAAAAAAAAAAAAAGCACAAGTATTTAACTCAATTGCCTTTAATAATTAAATTAATACACTTTTGTGAAATAGCTGCAAAATCAGTATTATTGTAAGCAATCACCATTTGAACATACACAGCACACTTTTGATACTTCATATCTTTTTATGTAAAGTCTGTACTTTTTTTAAAAAAATGTGTCAAATATTTGAGTTCAGTCTTGACTATCAATATATAAATCGAACCATCAAGTTTTGGCAATACACCAAACAGAAGCTTCCACTAGATGGAAATAAATAAGCTATCCTGTGGAGTTTGTATCTAAAAGCATGATAAACCTACCTATTTTTTTTATTGTAAATTACCATATAATTGACAGGTGAATCACCTTTAATAAGCTTTAAGCACAATTAATATTTGCATGAACAAGAACGAAATTACTATATTCAAGAACACTATTATAACCACTCCATATTCCTGAATTTTAAGGCTTCCAAAGTTATTACCACCTAAAAATAAGGAAAAGTTACGCTCAAAGATAATTTTCTCTGAAGAATTGCTGCAATGTAAAAATAAAGATCACTAGAAGGAAAAACAAATCACTAGAATAGTGAAACATCAAAAAGAAGTCTTAGCTTGAAAAAAACAAACAAAAAAAAAGTTGTAGTTTCATATTTTTTCAATCTTGATTTTCCAAATATTAATTTACATGGAAGTAATAAAAATGGTTTTGCAATACAGGGATTATTTTGACATAGCTATGAAAAATTTATGTAAATTTGGGAAGCTGAAGACTAAGCAATTATTTTAAAACTGTTATTTAAAAAACAGTTCACTGGATCTTGGCATTCTTTTGCGAATCCAATTCCACAAAAACCAGTTCTATAATGGCATAAATTTCAACATTTTCTAAACTTGTAATGATTTAGCACATTTACCCTTTTACCATACCTTTTGGAGGCTGCAGAAGCCTGGAATTTTCAAACAAATGCTTCTTTTTGATAGGTAAGATGACTGTGTCTTTCAGATCTGTAATGACATCATCTAAACCTGCTATATCACTCCAAGTAACCTGGTAAAAGGTAAGGTCAACATGAATTTTACAACTAATGTACACTCAGGTTAGGAAAAAAAAAAAAAAAAACCCAAAGTATGGCAAACCGTAACCAGACTACTTTATTTTAATAATAAAATATATACTAACGTAATCACGTTATAAACATTTCACAGCAATAATGAACTTGACAAACTGTTACGAAACTGAAAAAAAAAATTACTATTCCTTTTTATTTAAAAAAATGCTATGTTTGGCACTCAAAAGTCTGCTGGTATCAAATAAGAAAATTCACTCCACTTATAAGAAGAAAATACTAGAACAAGATTGAGAACCAGCTCAGGCAAATAATTCAGCACTGGCTGATAGGCACTAATTCACCAGGAATGTGCCTAATTTATATATGATGCTGTCAATCCTAAGAGAAATGAGTTTTAGAAGGTCTACACATCCATCAAATTGGATTTCTGAATTTTAATAGAAAATAAGACTGTGTCTAACTTACATGAGAATGTCTTTACAAACTGTAAATAATGGATACATACTCTTAAAATGGGCACAGATAATGGTTTTTTTTTTTAGTTCTTAAACAAGGAAAGCTTTCTAGTTCAATGTGAAAGAAAAATGTTTTTTTTTTCTCTAAATAAACCACCTGAAAGAGGGGTCAAAAAGAAAACAAAACAAAAAAATCAATCTAGCTCTAAGCTGGCACAGAAAATGGGCTGGGGTAGAGACAGAGTAGTTTACAGCAGATTTAATGTCTCCACAACTTAAATAAATTAAAAAGGGGGAATGCAAACCAGCAGTTAAACTTTTTTTTTTTAAAAAAAACCATAACCTTCATTGTAGCTGCAATTGCTGCATTGTAGCCTGTTAGTTAGACTTACTTAAGAAATGAATATATGTGAAGGGCACAAGAAGACATAAATTTATAAATCAAATTCAAATGGATGCGTAATTCTGGAGTGTGTTGTGTATGGGTGAACACAGATATTGTTAAGAGATAGATTTTTTTCATAAAAAAAAATAAAAGGAACCAGGTTCGCTGGTCTGATAAAGCCTGGTGGAACCCCTGAAATTATGGCCCCTATCTGCCCTTCAAGTCTGAAACTGAACCCACTCCTCTGGCTTCCAGTCAAACAAAAGGCAGGCATATGAACTGAACATTTATATTAGGTAGACACCCTCCTTGGAGAGATCAATCATGGGAGAATAGAAGGACCGTGTATGCACAGGGAGACAGCTCGGGGGGCAGGAGTCCATGGGAGGGAAGGACACAGAGAAGAGGTAACTATGGGGAGAAAGTAGGAGGGGAGCTGCGGCACTGTGGGAAATTGAAATCAATGTCATGAGACAAACTGTATATGAGCTGCTGTATGGAAAATTAATTTGCTCTGTTAACTTTCACCCAAATCAAAATATAAATTAAAAAAAAAAAAATAGAGATACTGTAGATTTTTATGTTCTAGATTTAGAGCTGGGTGTATCCTATTTCAATCTACTTACTTATGTCAATATAACATTAATGTATTACATAAATATATTCTAGCACATTTGTATCTGTTGTTATAAAAGCGTTACATAGGACCTTAGTTTATAAATTACATTAATCTGATCCTCAAAATAACCCTTATGAAAAAGGTATGATGATATTACCCCTGGATTACACAGGAAGGAGCTGAGATTCAAACAGGAAATCATGTGCTAAAGCCATGACTAGAAAAACTGAAATTCAGAATCCTGTGCTTTGTCTACCATACGCATCATGGAAATCTAGATTTAAACTCCATAAATCAAACATCCACATGACTTACAAGCAGTGTATTTTTTATACCACAAAGGCAAATATAATAAGTTTTACCAAATAATTATGTACAGAAAAAGAGTTAACATAGCTGGCCTGAGACTGCTATCTTTAGAAAGGCCAGCTTTCCGTTACCAGAATATCCAAAACAGGTGCCAACTTCCTTCAAATTCCACCAAGGTTGGTTCTTGGCTGGTGTCTAGAAATTTAAAATTTAGGAAGATTTTCCACTATTCCCTAATAACAACTCATTGTGCCTGAACTGTACAAACAATACAGTTTATGCTGAACACTGGTTTTCCCTCTGGGAGTCCAGAATTTTGGTACAGACTAAGTAGAGGGTGGCTTTGTGACCAGCTCCCAATAAAACTCTGGCCTCTGAGTCTCTGGTGAGCTTCCCTAATAAACAGTATTTCACACTTCTGTCAAAGCTGACTGCTGGAGGAATTAAGTGCATCCTGTGTGATTCCACTTAGAGAACACTCTTCAAAGAGTGGGCCATAATTCCTCCGGGCTACACTTCATGCTCCTTTTGCCTTTGCTGATTCTGTCTGGTATCCTCTCATATTAGTAAAGCATATCTGGGGGTATATGCTGAGTCCTGTGATTACTCCTACTAAATCAATGAACCAGGGACATAGTCATAGGAATCCTTGACACCAAATGCTAAACAGAAATAATCTTTAAGGTTAAAGATACGTACATGCATGTTAAGAGGATCTACCAGATGAGCAGCAATACTCATTTCATATTCTGAAAGCTTCACATTTTTCACACCAATTTGCTTCATTAGTTTTTCTGCCTAGTGGGGGGAAAAAAATTCTCCTTTAGTTTGATATTTTGATATTGGCACTTCACAACAGTTAACTGTGAATTCTAATGAGCAATGAACAGTCACACAAAAATTTTCCAGGACTATTCTAGGCCCCTTGATCTTACCCTTCCCACTGTGAGCACTCGAGTGAAAATAAGGTTTGAGGTTCCTTCTCCACAGAAACTAGGGCAATTTAAACTATCTCTTGGGAAATGAGAAAATAGGATACATGATTGAAGAGATATGTGCAGGGCCTCTCATAGCTCCAATGAGACTCTACGGTCCAGCTTGATTTCTCTCTCCTAGTAGGATTATCATGGTAGACAGAGGTGAACACTCAAGATGAAAGACTGAGGAATTAAAGACAGCAAGAAATGCACAACTGCATTTTTTATATTAACAGAGTATCCAAACAAGAGCCCAACTTCCTTCAAATTATCTGAGTGTATACAGTGTAAGTATTCGCGCATACTAATTTCTAATTTTTCTGATATATTATTCCTTTTAATGTTGAAATTAGTTAAAGTCAACTACTGGAGCTAGGCAACCAGTGAGAGCAAAAATCATTCTGAATTAGCAGTTTACTTACCTATAATAACCATAGCTTAAATTTATGAGCTCTAGCAATGCAACAAAACTTTCAATTAAAATAAAAACGGTAATAGGATTATCTGAGTATACCAAACATTATACATGCCAAATAACCTATACATAACATATTTAAATGTCAATTAAGTGAACATTTTTCAAAATGAAGGTACTCTGGTAAATCATCTTTACCTAGTATTGTTTCTTTACATTTTCCAAAAATATTTTTAATTGTATAAGATCTTGCTGTGCCAGAGGTATTACTACTCTAAAAAACAAACTAGCATGATACAGTATTACAGAATGGTTAGGTGATCAGGATAAATGTGTTGATCAGAGGGACATATTCTACTATTATTACTATTATTGAAGTGCTATGAAACATAATGTTTTTCCTATTTACCAAGCCATTTGTAAAATTATTCAATCAATGGATAAAGGAGCCTTTTCCAGGTTCCTTTCTCTCTCCCGAGTATCTTCTCTGTCTTTAAAACTTTTACTTTTCACCATTCCTCTTGAGAACAGGAACTAGACAAGGATGCCCGCTATCACCCCTTCTATTCAACATTGTACTGGAAGTCCTAGCCAGGGCCATAAGGCAAGAAAGGGAAATCAAAGGCATCCATATTGGTAAGGAAGAAG